GGTTAATAAAATTATATAGGTTTCAGGTGTACATTTCTATAATACATCATCTGTGTATTGAATTATGTCCACCACCTCAGGCTACATCTCCTTCTATCACCATTTATCCCCCTTACCTTCTTCTATGCCCCCTCTTTCCCTCTGGTGATCACCATGTCGTCTGTCTCTATGAGTTTTCTTTTCTTTGCTTAATCCCTTCTCTTCATGAGTCCATTCCTTTATGTGTCAAGAGCTTTCCCCCTTGCTTCTCGGTGAGATGACCACTACCGAGCGATGAAATCATAGGTTTATGTATTTGTTCTGAAAGGGTTTAAACCACCTAAGTCACTGTGTCACTGCAACTTTCTCACCAGCCATCTTTTCTCCTTCAGAGTACAGGGGAGCTAACGTTGCTTATTCTGTCGGGGAGAAGGGGGATTTGTTGTGGGAGACCATTTGCATGGTATCCATCTTGTTAAAGTCTGCTCTGCTGTCTCCGGCCCCAGGGCGGGGTCTCTCTGCGTGCAGTGCCTGCATTCCTCTAGATAATTGTTTACTCCATTCTTTGCTTATTTGTTCCACCTGGGGTATTTACTGGAATTTGCTTCAGGTGGGATACTCATTAACTGTTTCACCTGTTTTTCCCCTATATATTATGTGACCTCCCCCTGAATAAACGAGACTTGATCAGAATCCTGTCTTGTTTCCATCTCTCCTGTCTCTTGTCCCTCCTCATCCTCACTCCCCCTCTAGAGTCCTCGTTGATCGACCTGCGGGCCGGGTCAATTTGTGACTTAAAACCTTCCCCAAACTGAACATGAATGTCATCTCCAAGGCACTGAGAGCTCTACTACCCCTTCATGTTATCAAACAGGTTCCTGGTGAGGGGCCAGCCTGCTTCTCCCCACAGAGCGAAGGAACGGGTTCCACCCGATGGGCGTGGCAGTCAGTGGGTATCTGCATTGGGGCACCGTCCTTCCGCTCTGCCTGTTCTTCTCCAGCACGAGCTCTTCAAAACCTAAATGCAACCAATCCCCAAAGGGCAAGAATTGTGTCTAATTCAACAATATCCTCCCACTCCTTCCCATGTTTCTGATTACAAATACTCAGTAAATGATTGTTGAGTGACTAAATGTGTTCGAGCCTTCAATGCACACCCATCTGCGTGGGCTCTCCTGGGTCTGTCTTCAGAAGGCTGCTGATCCTGGAAAGTACCTGGTAGGACAGCTGCTCTGCCCTCCGTGGGACCTCCAGGGTGTTTCAGCACCAGGCCTCTCTGCGTCTCTATCTATAATAGAAGGGGCGGGGCCAGCAGCTGAAGTGTCTTCCAGGCTGGCAATTCCGGAAAACAGAGCCCCCCATCTCCTACCAGGGCAGCAGGAAAACACTCCCTCTGTGAAAGTTTCAGCAAGGGCAAGTCAAAGTATCTTGTTAACAATTACACATTCATATTTTAATCAAAAACCACTCCTCGGAAGCCTAAATTAACCATACTTTTGTTGCACTCTATTTTTAGGAGAAATAGGAAATATATTTAGGGATGAGCACACGTTCAGACTTCATTGTACTCGATCTATGTACATATTCCAACCCGAAGCATTGAAAACAATGGTGGTAGAGCACTAAGAATATCTTGGTTATCAAGGGGAGATTTAAGATTACTCCAAGTTTATTCTACACTATATTTACATCTAAAGGCCCATCATAATATTAACTCAAAATGACAATGTTTTGTTTTGTTTTTTTTTAATTTCTAAATATGTCAGTTAGCTTAACAAATCAGGGTTGGCAAAAATAAAAGTCTTGAGAGCACCCTTTAGTGGAAAAAAAAATGTAATTGCCAAGTAGCAGTTTTGTCTTGAGACTACATGTACTGGGCAGATAATATGCCACCGACTGGGCACTGGCTCCATGGCAGGGACTGGCATGGACGCGCTCTCTGGTTATAGGATAAAGGACTTAAGAAAGGTGGCGTGGAGAGAACCGGAAGTCTTATTTCACAGAGCCTAGCTACACTTCAAGGTTCACTTCAAGGTGTGCCCCCCACCCGTGTATCCCTGCACACTAGTGGTGGTGTCCAACCACAGTGCGTTTCCTTGCGCCCTTATTGCGCCTTTGTAAAGTTCTGAACTGTGGTGGGAAGCTCTGTAAGGCATTCTTTTCTTTTAGTTTCCGCTCAAAGCCCCTAATTTCCAGTTGGCAAAATGAAGAGAGAAGAATTGGCACCAAAATACATGAAAGCCCTGGCCACATGGGCTCAGCGTTTGGAGCACCAGCCCGCAGACCAAGGGGCATAGGTTTGATTCCCAGTCCGGGGCATGTACCTTGGTTGCCAGTTCAGTCCCCAGCCTCTGGTTGGGGTCATGCATGAGGCAACCAATCTGTGTCTCTCTCACATCTAGGTTTCTTTTCTTTTTTATCAAATATGTTTTTACTGATTTTTATTTTTTAAATTAATTATTGTTACAGATGTTTCTCCTTTTTCCCCCAAGCCACCCTCCTCCCCAACCCGCCTCCCCACAGCATTGTTGTCTATGTCCATTGGTTACACATACATCCCCCTGCTCCCCTACTCTGAGGTCTGTCAGTCTAAACCATACTCCTTTCTATGTCTCTGGGTCTATTTTGTTTATCAGCTTATTTTGTTCATTATATTCCACAGATAAGTGAGATCATGTGGTATTTGTCTTTCTCTGATTGGCTTATTTCACTTAGCATAATACTCTCCAGGTCCCTCCATGCCGTCTCAAAGGATATAAGACCTTTCTTTCTTACAGCTGCATAGTGTTCCATTATGTAAATGTACCACAGCTTTTTTATCTACTCATCAATTGATGGACACTTAAATTGTTTCTAGATCTTAGCAATTGTAAATAGTGCTGCTATGAACATAGGGATACATATATTCTTTCTGATTGGTGTTTCAGGCTTCTTAGAATGTATTCTTACAAGTGGGATCACTGGGTCAAATGGCAGTTCAATTTTTAATTGTTTGAGGTAACACCATATTGTTTTCCATAGTGGCTGCACCAGTCTGTATTCCCAGCAGCAGTGTATTAGAGTCCCCTTTTCTCCACACCCTGGCCAGCACTTGTTGTTTGAGGATTTGTTGATGGCGGCCATTCTGGCAGGTGTGAGGTGATCTTATATCTATGTTTCTCTCTCTCTCTCTCTCTCTCTCTCTCTCTTTACTCCCTCCCTCCCTCTGTCCCTCCCTCCCTTGCTTCCAATCTATCTAAAAATCAATGGAAAAATATCCTTGGGTGAGGATTAACAACAACAAAATGAAAAACAGAGGAAAAAAACCACAGCTCAATACCCTATAAAAATCTTCAAAAGTCCAGGGGTCTTTTAATTCAAAGTTATTTAACATCCATCATTCAGGAGGCATAACGAACAGCAAAAACACTTATTACATGATTACAATTGGTATTTTCGGGAATCTACGCCATCCTCAGGTCATTGAAGAGTCCTATGTGTCTTATATAGTGAACTTCTGTGCACAGCACTGCGTCCGATAACACTGGTGTTCATTTCTCAAAAGAGCTTGCTCAGTATTGCCAATGCTTACCACAAACCAAGGTCAGAGGACACAAGTGACTTCATACATTCTGATTACAAGCTGTCAGCCCCTCCCTCCCAGAGCCCAATGTCTCAGCACCCATGCCAGGGTGACCCCTCCACAGAGGTTGCCAATTCGAGCGCAAACTAGCTGGCCAGTTCCAGTTCTTCGCAGGCTACGTGAGCTCAGATCCTCAACTTTCTCAAAGAAACGAGAATGTAGAAACCTCCTCATTTTTACATTTTGGAAACACTGAATGGAAAAAAAGAAAGAAAATCAAATTATGTGTGCATCACCGTGTGAGCACAAAAAATTAGGTTTTCTGCCCCGATTCCTCCCTCTGGTTGCAGCTTTCAGCTTCTGGTCTGAGGTTCTTTGAGGACTGATGTTCAAGATGCCAGATCCTGGGAACTGCAGGGAAGAAATCCAGAGAGGAAAGTTGCTGGTTCTTCCCCTCTGCTCCACTGTCACTGTAGATACCTTGTTGAGGCAACAGCATCTGGTCTTGGTCTCCTTATTTGATGCTGGCTCATTATGTGGGTATTTCCACCAGCTTCCAGGGCGAGGAGAGTTTGCAGGAGCTACTCTAACACACTTCTTTACGCTCTCGGTAGCCATACACTGTCATGTCTTTTTCTCCGTGATCAGGAAAACCCACACCAGTTCTCTGGGTCAGGCTCCATACCTCTCACAGGGGTTATGAAATCCTCAGGAAGACGGAGGCACGAAGACAATGCACAATTTGAAATGGGGTCCCTGGATGGTTGCATCAGCAGCGATAGGACCAGAGGGCTCCTCTGTTAAAAGCCTGCCTAATCATTGCATGTCTTTCACAGCGAACAAAGGAAAAGGAAGACGTGGCTGAGTTTTCACTCGGCAGTAGATCCGCTTTGGTGTTCGGCAGCTTCGGAGCGCGAATCTCTGCTCATGCATGTGGGTGCAGAACATGCATCTCAAGTTACTTCTACAAACACTGCCCTCGACCCAAAACTTTCTTGACTACAGGGCTCTCTTACATTGATAGGGAGCAGGTATAAAGCTTGGATCAGCCCTGGCCAGTTTTGTTCAGTGGTTAGAGCATCGGCCTGCAGACCAGAGAGTCCTGGGTTCGCTTCCCGCTTGGGGCACATACCAACAAAAAACAAAAACAAAAACAAAACTTGGATTACACAGAGAAAACTACGTAGAGAAGCTTTGCACTTTCTAGGAGGAATAGGAAGGGCCTTGCTGAAGCTTCAACAGGAGATCAGGATGGAGCCCCCTGGGAGGGGCAGAGTACACACTACGCGGGTATCATGCAGCCTCTCCAGGCCAGCTGGAAGAGCACAAAGGGCCTACTATTCTGTATCTCCCACATATATGAACGATGACATCATACATATGTGAACTGTAAAGGTTACACAGAGTGGCGATTTTCAACAGCATTCTGGAGCTTTCTTTCTTCTTTCATTTGGCTTCTTTAAAAGACAAACGGAATGAGGGCCTTCCGAAACTTGGGGTAGTCCTCAAAGATCTTGAGGTAGAACCTAACAAACAAGAAACAAATAATTATAAATACCATCAAGCAGTGGTCAATGGTTGAGGTTTGCTGCGTCTGAAATCCTTTTTCTAAATCAACCGACACTTACGCAGGGCCCACCTCTTCCCGACAGCCATCTCTCCATCTCCTTTCTCCCTGCATCCTACTCTTATAAATGTTAAAGCTTCATGTGTTGGGAAATATAAACAATGCTTCCTGACCATGAGCACAGTGTATGCTTCCATTTATTTGTATCTTCTTCAATTTCTTTCTTCAGTGTCTTATAATTCTCTGAGTACAGGTCTTTTACCTCCAAAGTAGAGGAATCATGCTACTTGATATTAAACTCTACTACAAGGCCATAGTAATCAAAACAGCGTGGTACTGGTATAAAAATAGACATACAGATCAATGAAACAGGATAGAGAGCCCACGCCTATATTGTCCATTAATATTTGACAAAGGAGGCAAGAACATACAATGGAATAAAGACAGTGTATTCAATAAACAATGTTGAGAAAATTGGACAGATATATGCGAAAAAATGAAACTAGACCACATTTTTACGCTACATACAAGAATAAACTCAAAATGGATTAAAGACTTAAATGTAAGTTTCAAAACCATGAAACTCCTAGAAGAAAACATAGGCAGTAAAATCTCAGACATTTCTCTTAGTAATATTTTTTCTGATATCTCCTCCGACAAGGGAAGTAAAAGAAAAAATAAGGGGGACTACATCAAACTACATAGTTTTTGCACAGCAGAGGGAACCATCAATAAAATGAAACAACAACCCACTGAATGGGAGAACACGTTCGCCAGGGATAACTGAGAGAATAAACTGTGAGAGTAAAGCCACTCGGTTTGTGGTCATCTGTTTTGGGAGACTAATACACCTCGTAAATAGGCTTTCTCGTTAAGTGACCAGGCTGTCCTCTTAAAGCTGGGAGCTCTCAAGTTAGAATCTTGATTCACCCTGTTAAAGCACCTGAGTTTGAACTGGGGACAAACAGTTACAAGAGGTGGCTGGAGGCTGGGCTGTGATTCGAGAGGTGTGGTGAGCTGCCCCTCACAAAGCCCAGTTAGCTCTATCAAAAGACACCTCTTATCCTCCTGGAGATGCTGATATAAAGGACAGGGACAGTTCGGATTTTGTTGTTTCGCCAGCTGGAAACCTCAGGTGCAACAGCTGGCCCTCCCCTGACCAAGCCCGAGTGAATCCATGCTTCTCAGGGCCCCTCCAACTGCTGGCTGACACCCTCTCCTCCCCACTCCCCCTTGGCCTCTGGTGGGCAACAGACCCTGCCTGGAGTGGGAAGAACTGTCACACTGACTCTTACAGGCTGGGGACCCTCTGCTGCCCTCCACCACCCCACCCCCAAGTCTAGGAGGTCGCAAGAGTAGGTCATGCACAGACCTGTCATTTCATTCATTTCTGACAGGTCACTGCACAAATTCCACTCTGGGGAAAAGAACCCTTCTTAGTGTAACCTTCAAGACTTTGAAATTATTAAGTAACTGGACTAAAATACCTATGTAGGAGCTTAAGGGTTTTCCCCTGGGTCCCAGTTCCAAGTCTGTTTCTGTTCCCTCTTAATATTCTCTCTCTCTCTCTCTCTCTCCTCTCCCTCCCTCCCTCCTTCCTTCCCTCTCCAATAGTTATAGGATTTCTCATTCCTTAATTACAAAAGCCATTTTAGAGAAAGGATCTAAAGTTTGCATTTAAAGCCTGAGAACCACTTAATATGCTCCCCTGTCCCTGCCAGTGACACTTGTAGTTAACCCTCTGGTCCCCGCCCCACCCGGGTGCAGGGGTTGGGAGGGGGAGTTGGGAAAGCTTTAGCGAGACCTACAGAGGAAAGGTGCTAAGCCCCAGCAAGTTCCTGGCATTTCCCAGGTGATGGACGGTCCTGGAATTGCACCACACAAGTAACTGCCTACCCACCTTTCCAGGAAGCTGGCAATGACCTTGGCTACGATTTATGGAGGGCAGGATAGGGACGGAGGGGAGAACCAAAATAAGCCTGGAATTACAGACTCGGGAAGTGACCCTGGAGTTCGCAGGGCTCTGGGATGACCCGAACCGTTAGCACCACACACAGAATCAAACAGCCGCCACACGAGGCACAGGGCGGTGCTTTTCCCAGGGGTTCTCCACCCTGGCTATTCCTCAGAATTGTCTCTGAATCTTCAGAAAGGGCTGAGCGTGGTCCCACCTGTGGAACACACTTTGAGAAATGCAGCAGAGGACTTGAACGAAGGCATGGAGATGGCAGCTACTTCTGTACCTCTTGACTCTTACCCACTAGTAGCCATGGCCGGCTAGGCCTGGGGGAGGGGCACGGAGCCTGTGCACACGGCCCTTTCCTCGGGGAGCTTTCTTCCACGAGGCCACAGGCCGGCTTCCCAAGTGGCCTGGAGTGCCTTTGTCTACGTGGTTCATTTTTGCTCACAGGAAAAAGGTGTTATTGCTATTGTCATCCAGCTGAATTCCAACTTCAGGGAAAGCCCGAGAAGTCAGAATTCACCAGCACAGATTGCAACAGCAACCTTACCTTGTAAAAGTCAATGTCTCAGGTTTCTACACCTGACTCGGCGCGCTCAAGGCCTCTTTGGAGGGGGAAGCTGCGTGGCTACGGCCCCTGGATGGAAAAGCTTACCTATGGTGGTGAAAAGCTCGCAGCCCAAGGAAACAAAGGGAGAAGAATGCAAATGCAAGTGCTGGGAAGGACCAGGAGGCCAGGGCATAGCCCATCCATTCGATGATCTCACCAAGGAAATTGGCTCCGGAAACGTACGTGAACAAGCCACCTGCGTGCAAAAGAACCAAAAAGCCAGTGGTCAGAGCTGCATCACCGTGACATGGAAGCCCCACAATGCACAGGGGTAGCCGGAACGGAGGTGGGCCTGGGGACTCTGCCCAGGCATCCCATTTCGCTGGAGTCCACTTGGGAAGAAAGGAAGACAAAGCAACAGCAGCCTGTTGGCCTCAAAACATCCTGGGGAGTGGCCCCAACTGCTTGATGGGCTCCATCGAGATCCCTGACAACTGCGGGACCCCTGGCTCTCTCCCAGGACAAGGGAGAGGGCAGGAGGTCTAGGTTTTGTTCATTCTGTCGAAGGATGTTTCCACACCTGCACACCCACACGGCTGGTCAGCGTATTTCCCGTTCACAGGCACACACAGTGAAACAACAAACAGGTGAGAAGAGTAATATTGATCTGAGCAGTCATTCGATGCTCCGTGGGCCCTGCCCTCCCACAGCAGCCCACTCTGTTCAGGTTTAAAGGAGCAGGTAGGCTCTGCCCGAGTTTGACCTCCCAGCGGTCTGTCCAACCGGGTGTTCTCTTATCAGAACGGAATTAGAAGTCACGCTCAACACTTCTGCCCCACACTAACCTGGCCAAGTGTCATCTAGAACAAATATGTTCTTTCCGTAGTTACATAAAGAATATTTGTTTTTAAATCATTCTCTCATGTAATTTAACGGCTGGAAACTAACCTTGACAATGGAGCTTTTGAGACCTGTCTCTGCTCTTCGTCTAGTTAGTGACGATTTAACAACTAAAACCCCATCGAGGCGCCTTCCTTTAGGATAATATTGCCTCGCAGTTTCCCGTGGTTCCCCAGGCCCTGGGAGGAACCACTGACCTACTGCAGGGTCCATGAATTGTCTATGAACATAGCACATGGTACATCTCAACCTGAGGCATTATTTTAGCTTGATGTAGATACTGTTAGGATGTTAGCAACACCTATTCATTTAAATGAACTTTGTCGTTATTTTCTTCATCAATGAATATTAATCTGTACTATCACCATGTCATAATACAGGAAAATGTTTAATGTAAAGGGTTCTATTTACATAAAAAATGACGGGAGCCACTAACCCACACAAATACCTACCTAAAAAGATCGAAGGATTACATGTCTGATTCACTCCCACCTGCTTGTCTTTGTTAGCTCACACCTGGTTTCTTGGGAGCAGCTGGGATTTATCTCTGAAAATGCACTTGCAAGACATCTCACCCTAATTTTTGATTAAGTAAATATGGTTCTCTACACCATTGAGAATATACAGTTGGCAGGAAATACGCAAGTACTACCCCTGACTACCCAATAATAAATCCAGTTACACTTACTGGAGAGGATAAGTTGACTGGCCATGCACGATTTGGCTCTATTTGCTACCTAGGAATGATCAACAGTCTGTGTACACATGATGGTTCTTTTTTGTGTCAACTTGAATGGGCCTTAGAGTGCCCAGATATTTGGTAGAACATTATTTCTGGGTATGTCCATGTGGGTGTTTCTGGATGAGATTAGTATTTGAATTTAATAGCGTGAGCAAAGCAGACTGCCCTCCCCAAGGTGGGTGGGCCTTGTCCAATGCACTGAAGGCCTGACTACACCTCACTCTGGCTGCCAGACTCCCTTTGAGCGGGAACATTGGTCCCCTGTGCTCTGACGGGACCTCACCCCACCTGCTCTCCTGGACCTCCAGCTTGCTGATGGCAGATCATGGGATTTCTCAGCCTCCATAATCACGTAAGCCAATTCCTTATAATAAACATTATATATCTATGTTTATATCTTTATCTTATTGGTTCTGTTTCTCTGAAGAACCCTAATACCGCACATGGTAGTCTCACCAGCCTATTCATCCCACCCCAAGCCTCACACTCCCCGCATCTTCAGGACATTGTGACCTTGTACCTTCTGAGAATTCCTGTACTTTTCTTGATCATCAGGGTTCAGATCAGAAAGGCAAATGTGCTGTGGGGTGGGACGGGAGGTGGAGAAGTCCCCACATAGTCAGTGCACCCTCTCCATCGGTCACTCACAGCACAATTCCTGTGACAGGCTCCCAAGGAAGAGAGGGAATCTGGAGACATTACCTTGTGGGATCTTATAGATGACTTCTCCTGGTTTCCTGAGCTGGCGCAATACATAGTCACTATGAATATTGATTCCCATGCCCAAAATAAATAGGAAGACACCTAGGCACAGAAGAGAGAGGGGAGAAAAAAAAATATATCCTGCTTTTCATGTTTTTCTCACAAGCTGTTTTTTTTTTTTCTTCCTAAAAATGAAAGGCACTTAATTTCTAATTCTAAGAATGGTACTAAGATATGGCCCAGAAAGAAACAAAGACAGGGACGGAGTTGTCTCCACAGGAGCACACGGGATCGTTCCTGTTTGTGTTCGTTTTCCTTTGTTTTGGTGGCTCCAGCACACTCCACGGGGCACATTCCAGCATCCGTACAACTGATCCTCTGACCGTCTGGTTTCCAGCCTTCACTCTGGCTGCTCTGTGGAGAAGGGGCGACTGAAGACCAGCTTAGCTTGAAGATCACTATCTCAGTCCATGCACGAGGTCACTGTGGCCTGGTCCAGGGTGAATTTAGAGCAACTCGGGAGAAGTGAGCCCCAGTGGCATGTTTCGGAGCTCGAGGGAGCAGTACTAAGTGGATGGATGGAATGTGACTTGTGACATAAAGAGAGGACTTGAGCACTATCCCTAGATTTTTTTGGTCTGTACCAAAATAATATACAAACAGTTGAACCTTCCTGGACTTAAGTGCCTCTTGCAGATAATGAAACAAATTCAATGATCAGCATTTTCTACAATTTCATATATGGTGGTCAGGAAACATCTATTAGAGGAGGTGTGAATGGATAAAAACTTAATAAAGTGGGGGACCAAGCTTCATGACTGCATAGGGTGAGAGTATTCTAGGCAGAGGGAGAGGCCTGCAGACAAAGCCTGCAGCAGGACAAGCAGGATGGCCCCAGGCTACAGCACAGTAAGTGAGGACAGGCAGGTTTAATAGGCAGCAGTAAGGAATTTGCATTTTACCCTGAAATCCACTGGAGAGTTTTGAGATAAGGAATGACATGATGTTTCTCCAGGCTCTCTCAGGCTGCTCCATAGAGAAAAGACTAGAGTAAGGGTGAGAGAAGGGGAGACTGGAACCAATGAGAGGTGGTGGTGATTTAGACCGTGGGGAGCAGTCAGGTGAAAATGGTCAGCTTTACTTACCCAGGACAAACCGTATGTCCGTGTACCACTCAGCAGGGTATTCTGCGCAGTAAGTCAGATAGTAGCCTTGCAGAAATCCGTTTCCCGTGCAGAACACAAAGCCTTTGAAAAGCAACGCAATCGGAAAAGGCCTCCCTCTAGTGAGGAACGCGTAAACAAATGTCCTGGGATACGTGGGGGAGAAAGGTCAGGACCCATTGTTAAAACTATATGTATTAACGAGAAGAAAAGATTTCGAACAGATAATCACATCAAATCCAGTTTTAAAAGCCATTTTCCTTTAAATGTGTGCAATGAAAGAACATCATCCAGCTCTAAAACAAGCTTTTATGATATTATTTGTCTTGTTTCATTAAAATCATTGTAGTCACCATTTGTTATTTTATTCTTACAACAGTCTTGAAAGGTAAATGTCATGCCCATACAGTAGTTAGTAAATTCAGTCCTAGGAGCCCAGGATTGGATACTGATGCTTTCTGTAAATCAAGAAGTGAATCCCAGATTGTATGGGAAGACAGGGTTACCCCATCTGCCAGTGGAATGGCATTTTGATAGCAGCCACTTGACCATATGACTTCCATAGTGTCTTTCTTAGGTGATGTTGTAGCATTCTCTATAAAGTGGCTACAAAATCCCTCAAGAGAGGAGAAACGTCTCTAAATGTTAGGGATTATGAATCTAGGAAGAAGAGCTTAAAAATATAAATAACCTCAAAATAAAATATATGTTAAATTCTATACTTCAAATTACATCCTCTTTATAGTTTTTCTTGTCTGTGATGCTATATAACAGGAAAGCTCACAAACTTCTATGAATAGTTTAATGAATAACTATCAAATAAATACCCATATAGTCACTAATGAAGTCAAGAAGTAGAACATTGTCATCACCCAGAAAGACTCCCATGAAAGTCTGGCTGGTGTGGCTCAGTAGTTGAACTTCGACCCATGCACCAAGAGGTTGCCGGTTCATGCCCAGGTCGTGGGCCCGATTCCCAGTGCAGGGCATGCAGGAGGTGGCCAATCGATGTTCTCTCTCACGGATGTTTCTATCTCTCTCTCCCTCTCACTTCCTCTCTCTGAAATCAATAAAGGAAAAAAAAAAAGAAAGACTCCCATGGGTCCCTCACTGTTCACAGTACCACCATCACCCCAGAGGTAACCACCATTCTGATTTCCTGTTGCCTCTGTGTAATTTTACCACATTTGTATGCATCCTTTAAAAATGTAGTTTAGCCCTGGCCGGTTTGGCTCAGCGGTTAGAGCGTCCGCCTGCGGTCCGGAGAGACCTGGGTTCGGTTCCCGCTAAGGGCATGTACCTCGGTTGCAGTTTGTCCCCGGCCCTGGTTGGTCGTGTGGGTGGCAGCCACTCGATGTGTCCCTTTCACATCGATGTTTCCCTCTCTCTCTCTTTCTCTCCCTCCCACTCTGTCTGTACAAAAAATGGAAAAATGTCCTCAGGTGAGGATAAAAAAAATAAATAAATAAAAATGTAGTTTATTTTGCTCATTCTTAATTCTATATGAACTGAACTATAGTTTATGATTCTTATTCTTTAATGCCTTATTTCTTTAACTCATCTAAGTTCTGAGACTCAAACATAGTGTTGTGTAGAAGTATATTTCATTGATTTCTATTATTATATATTATTCTCATATAAGACTATATGGATTTACCTGTTTTATTTCTATGGATATTTGGTTGTTTCTTAGAGCATACCCACTCAGACATAATTTTGTAGTAACTCCCAAATTTTCCCATTATTTTAATAATTTTTATGTTTAAACTTTTGATACATCTGGAATTTATTTTGAATCCAATTTATTTTTTTTTTTCCTAATGCTAGTAAATTTACTAAATATCTCTTTCTCAGTGACATGCATTGCCATTGGTATCCACACTAAATTATCATATATGTATTGGTTCTTCTTCTGGACTCTTGATTCTGTTCCATTGATCTCTTTATTGCTGAAACCACACCATTTTAATAATTATACTTTCAAATATGTCTTAATACGGGGTGGGGCTATTCTTACATCATGACATTTTTTTGAGAATTTTTCAATTTACTCTTGACTGTTTATTTGTTTATGTGAACTTAAAATCAACTTGTGGGACACCCCCTTCCCCAAATTTTAGAATTACTCTTAAATTTAAAAGTTAGTTAAGAATGCAGAATGGCAGAAGGATGACCTCCAAGAGTTCGCCCCTTCATAAAAGCAAAGAAAAAAACTGGCAAAACCATATTTAGAACTCTGGATATTAACCAAAGGCTTACAGCAATCTGGGGGCACGTAGGCAAGGATATGGCTGAGTCTCAGGAAGGACAGCAAGTTTGGTGGCTTTTCACTTACCCTGTTCGATCTCCCACTCCCCAGCTCTACACAGCCTTGAAAAGTAATAGCCCACATTTCCAGAACTGGGGGGATCAAAACAGGGCTGGAGCTCTCTCAAAGCCTCATTCCCAAAGAGAGTTCACTCCTTTACCTGTCTGGTGGTTCCCCGGAAGGCTCCACCCAAAAATCTTGCCTTTATTCCACCTCCAACTTACCCAAGTGCTCAAAGTTTCTGAGGAGGGGGAATATTTATTTACTGTCTTAACAACAAAGTGGCACGAGGCAATGGATAACAGGTGGGCTTATTATAAAACAATCAAAAAGTTTAAAAGGAAAGGTTGAAGAATGAGATGCCCACAGAAGCTTGGCAAAGCTCAGGCCTGCTCCTGGGAATCTCGACCGCCAGGCACATGCATAGGGCCATGGACATACTCAAAAAGGACCTGTAATGTCCTGAGCTCTCACCTCTGATTGACCTTGAGATCCTCACAAGTAGCCACTGAGGCTACCACAGAGCTGTAAACAACATGTGGTTGTTGAAGGAGTTCCCTTACATGCACGAAGAGGCCCTTGGCAATAACAGGAGACATATTGGCCCCAGGTGTTTAAGGAAGCCTCTGTCCAGTCATTAACTGATCATTAAGCTGACCAAGTAGAGACTTGAGTGACCTCAACCACAAAGATAGAGACTTCACTGAATGAGTTCAGAAAAGTCACTCAGCAAACAACTACTATAACAGCAACAACAAACCCCAAGAAGTGGGGAGACTAGGCTCCCCAACATTGCCACATAATATTACTTGAATTACTCAGTTTTCAACAACTATGGGACGTGCAAAAAGAAATGAGAGAGTACGACCCATATATTGGAAAAAAGCAGACATTGTCCCTGAGAAGCCCAGACATTGGACTTACTAGACAAAAACTTTAAATTCACTACTTTAAACATGTTCGAAGAGCTAAAGGAAACTATGTCTAAAGAACTAAAGGAAAGTATAAGAATAATGTCTCATCAAGCAGAAAATATCAGTGCAAAGATGGAAATTATAGAAAGGAACTGTGCAAAGCTGACACTGTGGAGCTGTTTCAGAGCAGGGCTCGGGCAGCCGCCACAGAGGACTACTTGCACATCTTCACTCCTCAAACCTTTGGAATGTTTGAACTGGGCAAAATAACCTTTGAACTGGACAAAACCAAAAACATATTGCAACCACTGCAAATTTTTTTTTTTTTTTTGTATTTGCAAACAAATTGGGACGCAAACAGGAAAGTCCATATCCTGATTACTCAGCTGAAAACTGAAGACATTCTTTAGAATTAGCATTATCATGACGGACGGCCCAAGAGGGCTGCAGCCTAGCTGGAAGCTGCACCCACTTGCTCCCAGTCTTAAACCGAACTTACAATTAAATTACAGAGCAATCAATTTGAAAAACCAATTGAAGGATAGCTGATCCAAAATGCTATAACCAAGAAGAACAAAAGAAGCCACACAGAGACTGGTACGAAGAGCAGAGACGTGGAAAGGGAGAGCCCCTTACGTAGGTGCAGTGGTGGCTGAGACGCCAGGGATATCATGACTGCAGAGCTCCCTTCCCCTAGGAGCATGGGGCCTCAATCCCATGCAGGGATCCACGACCCAGAGCAACAGAGATGGGGAGAGGAGCCCATGCAGCATCTGGGAATCAGTGGTAATTCTGTCTACTTGGGAAATTCAGGCTGCATCATCCCAGGGAAAGAGCATCCCTGTTGTTACAGCACCAGCTTGGAGAGTTCACTCCAACTCCTGCTGCTGGAGCGGCCGTGCTGCAGTGCTCAGGTCCTGCGGAGGAGTTTGCTGGACACACCCAACAGTGACTTTAAGGGGCCCTCTATTTTCTGGAAAGGCTTTGGGCAGAGACCTAGAACGTGACTAAACTGTGTGACTTGGGAAAGAGTAACAGTCTCCCCCCACCTCAAGTGTGCAGTCGGCACCCTTCCCCACACCTGTTGAGCGGCTCAGCCTGCCCTATCCCATCCTGCTGGGTGCAGTGGCACAGGGGAGCAGTGCCAGGCAGGGATCTTCGACCCTCCTGCTGGGCTTGATGGTGCAGGGGAGCCAAACTTTCAGCCCATCCTGCTGGCTCAGACCCCGAGCAGAGCTGGAAATTTCAACCCCACCCTGCTGAGACCAACACATGGAGAAATTGGAGTGCCTTACAGGGCTGCCCTTTGGCCCAGTGTTCTATGGTGTGGGGGTTCTGGGGAGCCATGCAGAACCATGCAGAGCTGGGATTTTTGGATTGTGTCTCCCAGGGAGGCTTCTGTCTGGGAGCCAAACAGCCGAGGTCTGGGCTCTGTGGCCACATTGCAGGGAGGCAAATCCAAGCTCCCCTGAGAGTTCAGCCTGCACTACCCTGGGAAGAAGTACCCACCCCTCCTACAGGTTGAGGACCACACCCCACATGAGACTATTTGGATTAGCCCTGCCAGGTCCTGGATATCCCAACTGGGCCTAGTTCCATTGTGGGTGGGGGAGAGGAAGAGAGAATGGCCCAGAGCAGGGACATTCAAAGTGTGAGACCCTTGGAGGTTATTTTCTGGGACCAGAGGAAGTGCTTAGCCTACTGCAGCCTGGGCTGGCATCATCCTCAATAGGACACTCTTTTGATCTATCCCTCTAAGCCCAGGGCTGCTGGCCTTGCTCTTGCAGAAGGGACAGCTGCCTGTACCCAACTTGAATGTACAGGGAGCCCCACCCCCAGGGGGAACTAGAGTTGGAAACCCTAAGGGATTTGGCTTAGAAGCAGGACTACTTTCCCTTCATTGAGTGCCTGACTGTGTGATCCC